AGGTGATTAATTATCTCAAATATGAAACTGAATGTCAGTGTTCTGGAAGCTGCTTTTTGTGACAGGTGCTAGATCTGTAGAACAGAAAGAATGTGTCTTCTTTTTTTTTAGGGCCTCAAAAACTAGACAAATATTGCTTTAAAAAAGAGCAGAGCATGTTCTCAAGTACTACATAGACATTGGTAGAATTTTAGAGCTAAATGTAGAGCTGAAGGAGGGAAATTTTAGTGATCTTCTTTCCTCATTCTATAGATAAAGCAATTGAGGGCCAGAGAAATTAATTTTCTTAAAGCCACACTGCTAGTATGCCACTGAGCTGAAACTAGAAAATAGACTTCCTAACTACATAAAATGTAATGTTAATTCCATTGCCTTCTAGCGAGACCAGAAGTTCTTGCTCAGTGACTCATAGTAATAAATGGAGCCTTTTCCGTCTATCTTTTAAGATTAATCAGCAGTAGTAGACGATTTGGGAAAAAGAGACTTTTATATGGGCACACTCAGCCTTTATATGTCTGATCCCTAAGCTAGAATGTACATCTTCTGTTTCTAAGCTCTAACTTCAGTCTTACAGGAAACAGCAATCCAGCTTCCCTCATCTTGGTTCTCAGATTCTCCACTCAAAGGGTAGAAACTGAGGTTCAATAGTAACTAACTAAAAAACACCATTTCCTAAATAATTGAAAGACAGAGAAATATAGACAGACAGATGGATTAGGTTTTCAGAGTTTGTTCTTTATCTACAGGAGAAGTCAGTGTGCCAAGGCTACTGTCTGATCTATAACTGATGCGTGATCACAGCGCCCCAGGCCACTTCACCCACAGGGAGTAAAACCTGTGTCTCTTAAGCGTCACCCTGTGCTGGGCACTGTGCTAAACCCCTTCTGTGCTGCCTTTCATTATCTCACATGAGATAGACAGGCATGAGTATATGAGACTCAAAAGCAACAAGATAAAATTGGCTTTTTCCCCCTTAAAAAATGAATGCAGAACCAGGCACAGTGGCACATGCCTATGGTCCCAACTACTCAGGAGGCTGAGGTGAGAGGATAAGGCTTGAGCCCAGGAGTTTGAGTCCAGCCTGAGCAATATATCGAGACCCTGTTTCCCCTCCCCTGAAAACTGCATGTAAATAAAAAATTTTATTTATTCTATAACTTCACATTTCTGTATGTTTTATGCAAATTTAGCCATACCAAATGGGATGTATTTTTCATCCATTTTTTTGAACTTCTGTGTAAAAATGCTAAAATCACCATCTAATTAGTTGGACTAATACTTAATTGAATCTAATTTGGAGCATGGGCATTTAACAATAACAGATAATTTATTCATTAGATTTAGCCTTTTGGGGAACTTCAACTTATAAAAATTCACATTTTATTTACATTCTAACAGAATGATTTCACTTTAATATGTCCTAATTCTAAAATGATTTTGAGGCCAGGCGCGGTGGCTCACACCTGTAATCCTAGCATTCTGGGAGGCTGAGGTGGGAGGATTGCTTTAGTCCAGGAGTTCAAGACCAGCCTGAGCAAGAGTGAGACCCCGTCTCTACTAAAAAAGTAGAAAACTACAGGTGTGGTGGCACAGACCTATTGTCCCACCTACTCTGGAGGCTGAGGCAAGAGGATGGCTTGAGCCCAGGAGTTCAAGGTTGCAGTGAGCTATGATGATACCACTGCACTCTACCTGGGGCGACAGAGTGAGATTATGTTTCAAAAAAAAATTTTTTTAAGTTATTTTTCACTATTTTTGTTAAGTTATGGAAAAGCAGGACTAGCATGTGTAATAAGTAGCTATCTTTGGCTGCTTATTTATTTTAAATTAACTTTTTTGATTACCTATTGGGAAAAAATTTCTTTCCTAGGCATGTAAACTTTTTTGTATGTTTATGGTTTCTAATCTGTAAAAACCAAACCAACACTTAGCACAATGTCTGGCATGTGATAATCACTCAATAATTATTCACTGAGTGAAGAGATGGTATTGTGCTGTCTGTGAAATAACTAAAGCCCAAGAGCAGCAGATAGTTGGTGATTCTAGCCATCTCTGTTTTGTTACATGATAAATGATTTTCTCCAAGCTTTACACCAAAATTTCTTCTTCTTTTAATATGCCATAATTCTTATTTGGTACTTTCTCTCATGATCGCTTTCCCAAACCTCCCAGTGTACATGGTATCTCATTTTCTGTCTGTTTTAAGCTTGACATTTTAGAGTTTAATTCGTCAAAAATTTATGTTATCTACTATGTGTATTTTGTTATACCCAGGAACAAAGATGAGAAAACCTGTTACTCATCTCATATAATTTATATTCAAGTAGAATAACCAATATAGACCAACATAATAGTACAATAATAGTTTGATAGTATGAACCAAAGTATGCATACAACATGAGCCCATCGTTTAGGAAGCTTTTTCTAAACTGTCCCAAATCCCAGGTTTTTATATACTCCTAATTGGGTGTAGGATGGCTTGGCCTGTCAAAGTGTTCCATGAAAGACACTTAATTGTAGAAAGTTACCAAGTGATTCTTATATTCTCTGCTTCTGCCATCTCCTCACTTCTCAAATGAAAAGTACTGATGATCAAGGAATAAACATAATACAGTTGCCCCTCGGAATCCTGGGGGAATGGGTACAGGACCTCCCTTCCAACCCCCACAGATACCAAAATCCTCAGATGCGCAAGTCCCTGATGTAAAATGGCCTAGTATTTGCATATAAACTATACACATCCTCCTGTGTACTTTAACTCATCTCCAGATTACTTATAATATCTAATACAATGTGTTAGAAATTATGTTACACTATATAAATAGCTATGATACTGTATTTTTTCAGTTGTGTTATTTTTTGTTATTTTTTAGTTAGGTTTTTTATTTTCTATTGAATTCGATTGGTTGACTCCTCCTCACATGTAGAACCCAGGGATACCCGAGGGCCAACTGAATAAGGAGGCAAATGATTAATTCTATCTAAGCAAAGTGGTCAGGAACAGCTTCACAGAAGATTTTGAAGGAATTTACTATTTTTTCTTCATTGTATTTCAAAATATATTACACAAAGACTTAATATGTGCCAGACATTGTACTAAGTGTTGATGACAATAATGAGCACGCTGCCTTCGTGGCGATTACATGGCAGAGGAGGAAAGAAAGCGTTACAGGTGGTCCCTGTGATCAGTGCTGTGAGGAGAATGCAGTGAGTGATGAGGTCGCAACTGAGGGGCCCGAACAAACTGGTGGCAGAGGTCGGGCGTTCAGCAGCGGTTGCGCATGTGAACAACAATTCCCATCCCTGTGGGACTAAAAAGAAAGAGACGGGGGAAGAGTGAGTAAGGAGACAGATTTCTGACCCAAAAAATTGCAATTGTTTAAAGATATCTATTTGAAGGGGTCATGTACAAAGGATATATTTACTAAAAGCGCCTAAACATAGGCTAATTTAATTAAAAGGCATCCTGAGAGGTAAGATTCTCTTCCTTTCTATTATAACTCCCAGGTCTCCAAGGAGGCCTCTACAACACAGTAGTTATATTCATTGATGATAGAGTTTATTTGGGGTCAACTGAAATGAATTTATGAATTTGAGACTCAAGGGTACAGATCGGTTTCTTCTCTGGCAAATCCAAAGTAAAGTTCACTAAGTACTCAGATGGAAATATTTTTGTGTGCTTTTACGTCTTATGTTAGAAATGCTACTTTTAGCATAATAGCGTACAGTGAAGGACCGTCTATCTATTCATCCTGGTATTCAGCAGCCATTGACTGAGTGCCATTAACTGCTAGAGACTGCGATGACTAGGACACAGTCTCTGGCCCCAAGGAGCACACAGCCAGTGAAGGAGACCATCACAAAAACACATCTCTATGACACCACTGCTGCGCGCAGGCATGGAGCTGTGCATGGGTAATTAACAGTGGTTATGACAGCCAGTGCCCGTATTACTGGAGAATGCAGAGGCCAAAGTGTGCCCCCAAATCACATTACTCAAAATAATTATTTTGCAGATAGTACTGGGGAAGGAAAACATATCTGAGCTGAAAAGTTATTTCATACCAACACATGACTTTTTCCCCAACTTAGGCCTTACCAACCTCTCTTAGGTGTTCCTCATTGCCTTTCTTTCTTTTCTCTTTCACACTTCTTTACTCCACAAGAGGCCAAATATTGAGGATATTGTCTTTCTGACAAACATCATGAAGTGGTAATTCTGGAGAGTCAGGGATAATTATGGCTTCTCTCCACTACTTATAAAAGTACTTTCTGGCCTAAGAAGATGAAATAAAGCATCATCCAAATTTCTTTATAACAGGAACAAAGACCATACAAACTCCCTGAGAACAAAGCCTATGTCTGTACAACTTTGAATTCTGTACAGTTCTTTACTTTAATTCATGAAGCATGTTGATCCATCTAGTGCCTGACCTTATGGCAACTGCTGGGGACACAAAGATAAATAAGACACTGCCCCTGACCTTCAGGTCATTGTTCTATAGTGGGATAAATAGGCATGTAAAATAAATAATTACAGTACAATGTGAAAATCGTTGTCATTAAAGTATATACTAAGGGTTAGTGGAGTACAGGGTAAGGAATAATTAACTCTGCTTATAGAAGTCAGGGAGAGCCTCACAAAGAAGGTGACATTTGGATTAGGTTTTGAGGGAGGAATAGGAGTTGGTTGTCAGTTATTTCATGTTTCAATGAACATACTTTCCTTCCTCTGCTAAACTCTTAAATTCTTTCACCTTCCCAGCAGGATCATGTATTAACTTTTTAAATTAAAGAAGTGAACAGTTTAATTTTTACTGATAGCATGAGCTACTGTTGTGAAATAAAAACACGAGCAAAGTGGTAGGTAGGAGTCAGAACTTGAGATTGGTGGAGGGAGGAGGGGCTCTTGTTATGTGGGAACTAGGGCCAGGGAGAGAGCTGCACATTCGGAGCAGTAGTAATTCAGTGATTCACCCTGTCATTCCTCTTCCCCACAGCCATCAGGTTTGGGCGGATGCCACAGGCCGAGAAGGAGAAGCTGTTGGCGGAGATCTCCAGTGATATCGACCAGCTGAACCCAGAGTCTGCTGACCTCCGGGCCCTGGCAAAGCATTTGTACGACTCATACATAAAGTCCTTCCCGCTGACCAAAGCAAAGGCGAGGGCCATCTTGACAGGAAAGACAACAGACAAATCAGTTAGTTCTCTTCTACTGTCTTCATTGGGGGTGGCTGGGGTTTTCTTATGTTTTTTTTGTCTTGGAGTAAATGATTTACTGTGTTACACATGCATATGGAGAATACTGTTCAGCCGTTGGCTGTTAACATATTGCAGGCTGAGCCTGAAATGCATGAAGTATTTTCAGACAGGATAAGTAAACATTTTGAAAAGGGAAGGAAGTCCTCCAAATTCTACTAAAATCTTTGAGAATAGTGTAAGAATGTACTGGTCATCTTAACTTTAATGAATGAATTGAGACCCCCTCATCCTACCACCCTCTTTGGGGATCAGTCTCTTTTACTGGGCATCAAAATAACTGACCATAACAATGTTCATTCAGGCAGCCCTGCTTTTCTCTGAGAAGGGCCTGAACTAGGTTTGGAAAAGATATTCAGCCCCACTATTTTACCTTTCAGGAGAACTCCCAGACTTACCTCTTATAATGTTCAACATGGGCCGTAAAAATACATTCCAGATATTATATTACCTTTCTTTCCTTGTAGTACTCTATTAATTATTCCTGGGGAACTGGAAGCTCTATCCTTTTATTGTGTATGTAAATTTTATTTTCTGCAAGGCTCTTTGAGCTGCTTGGGCTACTCCTGTGAATTCTCAAACACCTTAAGGCTCATTGAGTGGTACCGTTTAGAATATTCAGAATGGGTTATAATTGTTACTGAGTCAAGTTTTCTAAGAAGTAGAAATCTTCCCTGACCAGAAGCTGAGAAAGCAGCATGGAATTATATTAAAACAAACCAAAACTATGCCTGGATTCCAGTCCCAATTCTGCCACCAGCTTTGAGTGTGACCTGGATCATGTCTCTATACCTCAGTTGTTAAAGACAGGATCTGGCTTTGATAATAATGTCTACAGAATGTTCCTAGAGCAGTAAGCACTGCAGAACACACTTGGAAGACACTGCCCCAGCTCTTGAAAGCCCTCGTATGCAAGCGTTTATTATCAAATGAGCACCTCCAGGAGAGCTGTGCTATTACTTGACAGATATGTGTTACTGAGTCAAGTTTTCTTGAGTCAGTAACTCATATCTGGTTCGAGCCACACGGCCATCTTACCACTTTTGTTAATATTCTCGTTTTAAAGATGAGGAAACTAAAGTCCAGGGAGGTTAAACATTTTGCCCTAAGATCTCACAGCAAGCACATGGAAGAGCCAGGATTATAATGCAGGCTTTCTAACCTCTAGATCAGAGCATTCTTAGCCTGATAGTCCCTTCATATCACACTACTTTTGGAAGCTAGTCTTTCCCATTGACTGACAATGAGCCAGGGAGACATACACACTAGGAAAACTTTACTCTAGGAAAACTTTCCAAATATGATTTCTTTTTGTCGATTTTAGAACAACAGGAATTTTTTGCCAGGTTCTGCTATCCCAACATATTCCCAGTTGGGAAATTTTTCCTGTACAGTGTTGTTCTTCTTGAATTACAGAAGTCAGGAAGGGCCTTGACTAGAACTGCTGTCTTCCACACACAGGATGCCAGAGCATAGGGGAGTGCACCGCTGAGTCTCTGTTTGTGCAATGAAAGATTTAGACCATAGCACATCAATAGTAAGTGAAGACCTCTGCAAAGCTGATTTGACTATAGAAAATAAACTGTGTATGTCCAGGTAGAAAAATAAAAGGCAAACTAGAGCTATGTGGCCAAAGAGAGGTAATGCTTCCAGGAAGCTTACAGCAGCTTGCTGAGAGCATGTCTGGGAACCAGGACTGGAGACCCAGAACTGGGACAGGATTGCCAAAAAGGAAAGTGCCCTAAAGCAAACCGCACACAGCACGGCTTTGGCTGCGGCCATTTAGCTTGTAGGAACTGCTTCCTCACTTTCTCTTCATTTCCCAAGCCAGACCTGCAATCCTTGCTGAAAAGCCTATCAATTTAATAGTACCTGGAAGATAGGAAGGAGACCAAAAAAATCCCCAGTAGCTAAGAATTTAGCTTTACACCACCAGTAGCCAACATGCTCCTATCAGTGCCACCGAAGGACATGGAGCCCAAACCACTGTAAATCTCACTAAAACCTCACTCCAGTTGACTCCTTGGCTCTACATCTTTGAGTTAAAACATATGATAATTGGAGGCCCTTTATGGAATAAATACATAATAAGCTATTTTGGGGGAAAGGGCTGCAAAATGCTTGATCACAGGCTTCTCAAGTTTAGAGGCCAAGTGTTGGTGATTTTTTTTTCCCCTGTAATAACTAGGACTATGCTTTGCCTCTGATAGTTACTCAGACTGTATTTGCTTAATGTGAAATAAAAACGGTTGCCTGTGCCCTTTGAAATTCTGGACTTTCAACAAAGAGCTTCTAACTAGCCCAATATTTGCTCACAAAACTGGACATCACTCATGATCTGGATACAGGAAGAATTGCCTCCAGTTGGAGTCTGGAAAAAGAGAGACTGGGCCAAATTAAAATAATCCGTTTGCTGATGACACAAAACTGAACTAGAATTGTTTGGCATTCTCTTTTCTCCTTATCTTGCAAAATCAAATTAAGTACTAGTAGAAAAAAATAGTTCAGAGATGAATATAAGAGAGAAAAAAATCCAAAACGTGATTTCCAATGAGACTAGAGATCTGTTCTCTATCTCCGTGGTAGTGTTATTCATTTGATAGTATCTATCTCAGGGGTGTTATGTTATCTCTTGGCCAGGGCTCATGAAAGTTAAGATTTGCATTGATAGGAAAAGTTTTGCAGAAGTGTGGACTCTTGAGAGGATGAGGGTGTCCAAAAGTGGCTGTGGCTGTGCAGTAGAGCAATTTGGGTTTCGTTGTACTCCCTGCTTGGGACTGATGTCATCAGTGTTGGTTAGGCCAAGCCTGGGGGAGGCTGCTCAGCACAGAGGATGACCAGTTACCCAGAACCTTTGAAAAAAGAACTGAATGATTGAAGAGGCCATTCTTTGTACTTATCTTACTGCTCAATTTAACCATTGCATATTATGGAACTCCTGCCTTCCGCCCTTTCAGCACTTGCCTCTAGGCCGCCCTCTCCCCACACTCCCCAGCTAAACTTCCTTCTCCTGTATCTTATTCCCTGGGGCCACTCGTACCTTTCACAATAGAAAAATTAACTGCTCCAGCTCCCCTTCTAACAAATTTAACATCATATCTGGTATATTATGCCTTACTTTTCATTGTCTTGCCTAACTAAGAATAATGCTTGGGAATTTTAGGCTCAGGGCTAGGGAAAGATAGGATATGGAATCACTGGCTATGGATCCCCAGAGAAGAAATATGGAGCAATAGGCCTTTTTGCCATCCTCAGGGTAGAACTGACTCTCCCCACAACCTATTTCCCTTTCAGTGGCTTATTCCAGCCAAAGACCCTTTTTAAGAGATCCTATGGAGCCCTGGAAACTGTGCATGTGCTAGAACTAGGGTGCTCTGTTTCACGAAGGCAGTTTGATAACTGAATGGACTTTGGAAGTTCCTGGTGTTTGACTATTACCCTGGTGTGATGATCACACTGGTTGTATCACTGTCACATGATCCCATGTTTGTTGATGAATAAAACAGAGGGTGGTTTTCAAAAACCATTTTCAGTGCCGTAGTTTATCATAAAACAATAAATAGAGAAACCCTTGGTATGCCTGCCAACTCTCCACCCCATATCTAAGAGTTGGTGAAGCTCTGGCTGTGCTCTATCTGCAAATAAGGAATAAAACATTTTATTTGTAGTATATTGGACTTTGGGTTCCAAAGCATCACATTGTTTATGATAGGTACATGTAGAGTCACTGTATTTATAATTACAAGAGCAAACTAATGCCAGCAAAAAAATGGTCATTCTAAATAGTGAAATATGAAACTAATGAGTAATAAAACCACTATGGAAATGTAAACTTTTGTGAAAACATTTCTGTACCCACTTAAGTTTGTACATTCTAAAATTTACAATGGCTATCAAATCTGCTGACTCAAACCATTAGAAAAATATCTATCCTTTTAAATCCTACATTTCCAGCTAAACAAAGTATGGTCTCTTTTCCCTTTATTTCTGGAAAAGCCTGACTGGGCTGGAATTTGCTCCCCTGAGAAGAAAGACATTGGGCAAGCTGCTCAGGGACTCTAGGAGAAAAAAAGAGCAGGATAGTAGTGCTGATTTATTTCCATGGCTGCTAGAAAAGTTAGGCTCCTGAAAATATTAATCCATATATTAATATTAATTTTAAAAATTATTTTATTGCCAGGGTTCTCAGGAATAGCTAAAGATATAACAGATTTGAATTTCAGAGAGTTCTTTAATGTTCTTTCAGAGAGTAAGTTAAAAAAATATTCTATATAGTTAAAAAGAAAAACATTTGGGTTTTTTTCCCCAGTGATTGGACTCAGTTGGCCAATACCCTTGTTTACCCGCTGAGTAACTTTTTGGCTGGTAATAGATGATTTTTTAAGAGTTATGATTATATGCTAGGTCATTAAAGTGTGAATAATTCTTTGTATTAAGTTTTCATTTGTTTGTCTTAAATCTCCAAACCACTCAGGAAAGCAGAATCACCTTTGACAGTCTTTCAAACTTCACTTCTGTCGCACACAGCACTTAACCAGCACCTCTGGGAAACAATAGTTAAAAAGGCGCTGCCTCAAGATCCCAACATATAAGACCTGCAGTTTAAAAGCCCCAGTTCATTCCAGAATAGTCATTTTATTAGGAAAAAGAAGATGTGGAGAAAGCAATAGAAAGGGAAAAGAACTCAAACAGGAATCAGGAGCTCTGGTTCTAGTTCAGGGTTTGCTATAAATTGCTCTTGGACTTTGGAAAGTCTCCTGACTTCAGTTTATTCATTAGTTAGAGAACGATGGTACAGATTATTTCTGAAGATCCCGTATGTTCTATAAATCCCATGGTTCTCAATAAGAGGAAAATAGGAACAGCAGGGGTAAAAACAAAAAATAGGTTGAGGAAACCAAAACCAACATGTGTTGGATTAACATTCACCCATTGTAGCTAATTGAGGAGAACTAGGTGTGTCAAAGTTGATGAAAGTCAGTCGGAACTATAAAAAGGAAGAAGGAAACAAAATGAAGAAGATAGGCCCTAAGAATGGAGTGTTCTTCCTTAAGGAAAACCAAGAATATCAGGAAAGCCCCATGAGATGAGGCCCACGTTTTTCCGAGTCAGTTCTAACTCTGACAGGGCTACCAAGTGATTGTTTGAGAGAGCGGTAGAGTGGTCTGCCCCACTGATCTCAGCCTGCCAAATTAGAGAGATCACCCACAATATCCTGTGCTTTATGAGCTGACTTTTTTCTTGTTTCTCTCCTTTAGCTTGCTATTTTATTACTGCAAAGGAGCTATAAACTTGAAGCATTCGTATTTAATACCTTTCATAACTCATTATTAAAATTCTGATGTTATTGGATTACTAGAGAATACTACTGATCCGTTTCTCCTCTCAAATAAGTAAACTTTTATTCCTCCATTTTGTTTTCATCGTTTTCCCCTTCATCACTGTGCTCTGCATAGGAAGCATGTCATGATTTATAACTAAATTTACTCATCTGTATAAAACAGTACCCTTAATCCCACCCTGGCCTTGATATGTGGAGCCATTTTTGAAAATCAAAATATATCATAATAAGTTATATTTGATGTGTCCCTTTTTAAAAAATCAGGCTGGGCACAGTGGCTCATGCCTGTAATCCCAGCACTTTGGTAGGCTGGGGTGGGAGATCACCTGAACTTAGGAGTTGGAGGCTGCAGTGGCTATGATTATGCCACTACACTCCAGCCTGGGTGACAGAGTGAGACCCTGTCTCTATTAATAAATAAGTATTTAAAAAAATTTTTTTAAATGTATTTCCCCTTATAGAAATCATTTTGCTTTCCTGGAAAAACATTGTATTTAAACACAGCTTTCTTCCATTCTCCAGACCTTGTTTGGGTCTGTCCGATATATGCAAGGTACAGGCATTATAACGGCCAGAGGCAGATTCACCTTGAGGCTAATAGTCTCTTGAACAGTGCTCTGAGAAGGGCCTGAGCAATTTTATTCTCATAATTTGCATTATATTTCTTAGAGAAGACCTCACAATTGTGTACATTTCAGGTCCCACAAAACCTGGATCCATTTCAGTCATGTCCTAGTTGTAATTAAGCTTGCTTTCTTGTTAAGGAGGGATGAATATCCAACCATTTGATGTAGTGTCTGAAGATAAGTACGTAATTATCCCCGGACTAAAGTATAAAATCATTAAGACAAAATTTGAAGATGAAATGGCTCCTCTTGTAATAGCACATCGTCAGGTGATGCTGTATAAGCTAATTGGAAGGGTAAGGGCTCCCTTTTGCTTTGTAAAAGCACAGAAACATGACCATGGATGTATAGTACATTTTACATGGAAAATTGTACCAGAAGTATAAGCTAAATTAATGATTCAAGATAAATTCTACAGGCCAAATTCGACTGAGGTTTTAGGAGTTCTGCTCTCTGTAAAGCATGCAGGCGGCTGTCTTCTCGCCAGGTCTGGGGATAAGGAGGTCCTTTGTGAAATGTGAAAGTGATGTGCAAGTCAACTGTTTGCAGTCTAAGAATTGGTGAACTGGTTGCAAAGAAAGGCAGACCATGCCTGGTGATCACTCTTGCAGTTTGACAGATGCTCATGGAGGCTTTGCAGACCTCAGAAATGCAACAAAAATAGTATAATCAGATATGAGTAGGGAAAATAAAAAAACTCCACCTGGCGTTCATTTGCATGTCAAAACCCAGAATTCTCTGCCAGCTCACCACCACTTTTCAGAATGCCGAAGGGATTTAAAACAAACTGGAATGGTTTGGCATGATGGTGGGGTGCTGATTCCTCTCTCTGTCCTTGAGTGTTTACTGCCAGGAAATCCTGACCAACATCGATTGCCAAGGGGTTAAAGTCACATTGTTGTTAAATGGGGAGAGAAAATTAGCAGGATTTTGTGCCCTGTGTTCAACCATCACAGAGTTTTCAAAAACAGGAACCTGAGCTTCGTATGAGGGGACAGGGGAAGTAGAGGGGAAGAGTCACAGGGTGATTTATCAGGGCATAGTTCCAGATAAATGCTTACATGGAGGTGAAGGAATTTCATGTCTATGTTCTGTGCCAAGAAGCCAGCAGTTGAGCAGAAGCTCATCTGAAAATTGAAGTGGGCAGTCCTGGGTATAGTCTCGGCATATGTGAAGAGGCGATGGTTTTATATTCGTGTTATCTGTACTCCTGCTTATGCAGGTAGTCTTTTCAGTTGTCCAAACCATCATATTCCCATAGCAGAAAAGAAAGCCAATATTTTTTGATTAATATAAATTATAATACACTATAAAACACCTGAAGGATTGAAAAACACATTTTCTCTAGGTTCTGGAAAAGCATCGTTATTCATTCAAATTTTTCTCGTGATTAGAATCTGACATTCTGGAAAATACAGTAAATTTTAATTGATATGACTGGCCCTGCCTTTCTTTTGTCTCTCATTAATAATACCAATCCTGAAGAGAAAAAAGAAAATAAACATACTCACATACACACACACACATAAGCAAAATGTCCAAGAAACACAGTAAGGACAGTTTGGTCCCAGTTTCCTTGAAGAATTAGAACCACTGTGCAATAGTATAAGAGGTAGACTTTGGCCACCTGCCTGAGCCCTGAGCCAAAGATTAAGTCTGGTGACAAACCTGCTCTTGTGTTGCCACATCATCCTTTTTTGGAGCTTGCTAAACTATACAGTTGAAGTGAATTTTTGGTAAAAAAAAAAAAAAAAAAGTAAAAATGGCTGGAATAACCCCAGTAAGTGGTGAGGAAAAGAAATGCAAGTTTGGAAATCTGTTCAACATCTAAGAGTCCTTAATGTGAATTTTATTTCCTCTGGTGTAGAACAGACCTAATAGTTCGTAAAAAACATAGACTCCTATGGAGATAATAGAATCTCCAACCAATGGATCTTGAAGCTGGCTACGGAGGCCACTCATGCACACCTCCCCCTAGCCATTCAGGAGGGAGTTCTCGGCATCTCTGCCAAAAAGAACTTTACTTGTAGTACATCAGAGACTTCACGTTCTGTGTGTGTGCACTTGTGTGTGCGCACTCACACCTCCCCACACATTCACACCGCCCTACACACACACACACACACACACACACACACACACACACGCTTCTGAGGATGGAAGTGGAGTCTCCTCCAGAGAAGAAAGGAAAGCCCTGATTCTATCCACTCCCTCATTGAGTAACTTGAGGCCTAGGAAAGGTAAATGACTTACGTCACATAGTTAACCATAGAACCAAAGCTGGAGCCTCAATTCTTATTCTGGTGCTTTCAGATACAGAAGCATAAGATTCTGCGTCTATCTCCTTAGATAGTTTAGTGCATCCAGTCTATGTATCCAGTAAAATGTTGCCCCTTCTCAGAGTAGTCTTGAGAATTTCACAGTGACCACAAATCTTTGGTTGGTTCTATGCAAGGAAAGGAAAGAGAGAGATAATTACATGACCAACACAACTTATTTTTGAAAGCTGTCTATTGCAAATTTGAGTAATTGGTGCACGTGTTTTATTGATTATTTGACCTATAAGGACTTCCCTTAAAATACAATTTCAAAATCCTTTTTTTTTCTTTTGCCACATTTTACAGGATATACCTGTGGGCCTTCTACACCTGCTCTTTCTGAAACAGATAAGAGCTTAATCTTCCAGAGCATTAAAAAAAAAATAGACATTTTCTTTTTTCAATATTTCTAATCTGCTTTCAGAGTGATTTTTTATAGTTAAGTATACTTTGTATGCACACTGTATTTCATTTGTGATCTAAAGAGATTTAATCTAAAACTGAAGAGTTAGTTTATGTGCAAATGGGTATTTTTAACCCTGAGTTGCTGAAATGATTTTTTATTTTTTTCTGCTCTTCTCATCAGTGATGAAATGATTTTTTATTGAAAGATGGTTAAAAATGTATTTCATTGAAAACCAAGATAAATGATAGAATTTGTATCATTTAAAAAAATCAACAAAGACTCTCCACACAAAAGAAATTGGAACAATTAGCCAGTCATAGGTGAAATGTTACAGTGTAAATTCAAGGAAAAGAAGACCAAAATTGGTGAAATATGATTGGTTTCAGAAAATAATTAAGATGCATAAAAGAAGGGTATTTTCTCATCATTAAGCATCTTCAACTTTAAAGATTTTAAGTAGCAAAGCCAGTGTATTTAAAGAAACAATGTTCTGAACTGGGATGGCATTCGCTGTGAAGGAGAAACCTCTGACTCAGCCACTTCTTCTCTGTTTTACTTGCAGCCATTTGTTATCTACGACATGAATTCTTTAATGATGGGAGAAGATAAAATCAAGTTCAAACATATCACCCCCCTGCAGGAACAGAGCAAAGAAGTAGCCATCCGCATCTTTCAGGGATGCCAGTTCCGCTCTGTGGAAGCAGTGCAAGAGATCACAGAGTATGCCAAAAGCATTCCTGGTTTTGTAAACCTTGACTTGAATGACCAAGTAACTCTCCTCAAGTATGGCGTCCATGAGATCATTTACACGATGCTGGCCTCCTTGATGAATAAAGATGGGGTTCTCATATCTGAGGGCCAAGGATTCATGACAAGGGAATTTCTAAAGAGTCTGCGAAAGCCCTTTGGTGACTTTATGGAGCCCAAGTTTGAATTTGCTGTGAAGTTCAATGCACTGGAATTAGACGACAGCGACTTGGCAATATTTATAGCTGTCATTATTCTCAGTGGAGGTAAGATTCGCCTTTTGATCTTCCATGAACAAGGGTGGGATGGCTGAAAGAATTTTGGATTTCCTTAGTGTGTTAGTCTGTGTTCCTTTTCACACTCTACTGCACCTTTCGTACAGAAAATGCCAATGGCAGAATGCCATGAGAATCTCACTGTACACTCAAAATACTATACCAAGAAAGGATATCACAGGATTGCAGTGTGAAGGCTCTGAGTAACCCAGGCTCTTTTCTTTTATCCTCACAATACTTTTTCCAGTCATATCCAATTGTGGAAATCAAATGCCCTCTTCTCCTTTTTCTTTTTCTTTTGTTTTCCTTGCCTTATTCCTTTCCAAAGGCCACTCCATTATTTGGTTCATTCAAGTAATGACACATACAACTTTGCTTAAAATGATGCTCACTTAGATAGAGAAGGTACCTACTAAGTGGTTTTAGCCAAATTAACACTCTTGCCCCACCATCAGTAAGCTATTACTTTGAATTGCTTTCCTGATATCAGAACTTAAGGACTATATTTGTACTGACTGTATAGGTACTATATTTAAGGATCCTACTCTCTCATATGGATCCTCTGATGGCTTCCCTCAAAGTACCTTTGGTGTGGTGGTTGTTGTAATTAAGAAGGCAGTCTGAACCAAAGAACACACAGCAGAGAAATAAGTTGAATTATTTTCAATTTGTTGTATTTCTGGCCTTGCAAGTATGTGACCTAACTAACCAACTCCTAAAGCCAGGTTTTATTCTAACTGTAACTTTCATTAGCCTCACTGTTTTCAAGTTGAGTAGAAGAAAGTTGTGCTTTCATGTCTCTATATACAAAAATTGGTTTTTAAACAGTAGTTTTTATACTGAAATGGACTTCAGGTGAGCTTTTTATGTGTACTCTATAGTATATCTTTTGTTTGTAATAACTCACCTTGTCAGGGAAACTGTGTACAACTGCACAGTGTATTATAAAGAGTATGATTCACCCTGTAGTCTTTTGCTGTCCAATTGAGAGCAGAAAGCTTCTGAAATCAGGTGCACAGTGCATTAGTAATAATAACAATAGCAATAGCAAACATTTAGTACTTACTATGTGCCCGGCAGTGTTCTGAGCACTTCATACATATTCATTTAATCTTTACAACCCAGTGAGGTAAGTACCATTTTACAAATGAGGACACCAAAGCACTGAAAGGTTTGCTCACTTGCCCAAGGTTACATGGGAAAAAGTGGAGCCAGGATTGTGAACAGGCAATCTGGCTCCAGGGTCTAGGCCAGGTGTCCTCAAACTACGGTCCGCGGGCCACATGTGGACTGCCGGGGACATTTATCCGGCCCACCAGGTGTTTTTGCCACTGCTGCCTGTCCTGCTTAGCAACCGGGGCCCACAGTGCGCATGTGTGGAATGTGCACCGCACTCTCCAATGGCCCTCCAACGGGCTGAGCAACAGTGAACTGGCCCCCTGTTTAAAAAGATTGAAGACCCTTGGTCTAGGCTCTTAACTGCTACACTATGCAAAATCCTACCCTTTAAATGACTAGGGTGCAAATAAATAACAATATGGCTTAGATTAACTCTGGAGCCAAGAGTCCAGTGTCAAGTTGTAATTCACTTTAAAATAACTTTTTGGTGTTACATTTAATAGAACAAAAATATACTATCTGACTTGATTTAATATCTTGACCAAATCTACTTAAATTAATCCTCAACCCCCCGGGATCTTTGAGCAAAGAATGAGATTTCAGTATATATGAGGTTCACTGGGACAAAAATATTAAGTTTTTAAAAACCAGAATAGATATTGTTTAGCCAATATTTTAAGGCACATTTTATTTTTAATAAAATACAAAAATATATTATCATTTGCTATATTTCTAATATTTTTCCTAAGCTTGTATATCCTATGTCTATATTCTTTCCACTTAATTAGTTTCTCATGTCATTACATACTCTACATACTCTTTGTTAATATTTTTTACTATTTTTTTGTAAAAGTAATATGTGGTCATTTTATAATCCAAAGAGTACAGAACGTTATAAGAGAAAAGTAAGGTCTTTGCCCTCGGAATAAAATAGGATTAACAAAGTCCTGTTTCTCCTACCAAAACATTTATTTGCACATACATATATACAGATAAATATATGCATAGGTACAATATAATACAAGTTTGTAGCAATTTATATTCCTATCATAGATGCTAAGGGAACTGTCTGAAATAAGCCATTCAAAGATGCTTAGTTTCTAACTAGGAAAGGTCTAGATAAGAAATAATCAGGATAAATCCAGGCTTTTTGAACCTGAGCAATGTTGTTTTATGGATACAGCAGACAACAGTGTGGTTCCATCTAGAAAAGATGCCATTACTAACCCTAACTAGATTTCTCACAAGCTAGATGATCTAAAAATCAGTGATTCATTGGGCCTTTAAATTTTTCATTAATTGATCAAAAAATAGCTCTGAAATGTTTGATTCAATTTAATTGATATTGCAGGCTTCAGCTTTCAATTATGAAAATTAAAAATGGTACCAAAAGTGGTACCAAATAACATAGTACCACTTAAATATAGATATCGCATAAAGAAGTTCCTTTTAGCCTTATGCAAACTGTCTTGACAGTAGCCAATATCCAGATCTCATTTAATCCTCAGAACAGTGAAAGAAATTTGAAGGTAGCAGCCTGCCATAGATTTTAATAATCTTATATCTGTGGCTATAATGAAAAGAAAACTCTGGAAATAACTTTAGACGTCCTCAAAAAAAAATTTGCCATTGATTTCCATAGCATAGAAGCCAAATCCTTCTGCAATTGAAGTTGGCTTTTGTAGATGAAGCCTACGAACAAGCAATAGATAAGAATGAATAACTGGCCTCGTGTGTGTCCAACTCACAGGAATTTTCTTCTCTTCCTTCCTCAGAAAGGCTGACAGGTGTAGGGCAGGGAAGGAGCTGCCCCACAGTCCTTCCCACGCCACAGACTGTTCTGGTACGATCTGCATTGCTGTCATCTGTAGATGATGAGATCAGTATCCCAGATTGTAGTTTATTAGAGTGAGAGAAAATTGCTCAGTTAGCTTTTCCCCCCATTCTGGATTTTCCAGAAAGGGAAAACATTCATGTAAGCAAGAAGCTTTGATCCAGTAAACAAATTTTTGATTCTACCCAGTCTTAACAAGAGTGATTCTTTTCTCCTCTGCAGTTTATTCTGAAGTCTGTCAGAGGCGTTCCTGACTTCAGAAAGACGTGCTTTTGGCAGCGCTGCAGTTGGCCCCGTTCTGAGTAGGCCTTGGGGTCACAGAAAGGCTCCGCTCTGGCAAGGGCTCTTGGGACCCTAGACTGAGGGCAGAGTGAGGGGTGCGGGCACCACGTAAGAGTGAGGTGGTAAGGAACTGGGGATTAAGGAAGAGGCATCCCTGGGGGATCCAAAGAGAGGATTTTTGGATAAAAGTAACTGATTTGACCCAAGTATGTATTTGCTGGGAAGACGAGCTGCTGCCTGAGAGGCAGCCCTGAAACCTGCTGATAGCGCTTGATTTGGTGCTTAGACCTGCCCGGTTCTCAGCATCTCCGCTCTCAAAGTTGCTGAGAAAGATGACCTAGTTCTTCTTAAGTTTTCCTCCTTTCTCTCTCCCTCCCTCCTGACCCGAGGGTAAGAATTAGACTGGTAAGGAACAGCAACACTCGAGAACCTAAGTTCAATGCTGTGGGCCTTTTCAACACACAGTCTCTCCTTAGATCCTGACATGCTCTTGTGTTTTCATTCTTATTTCACAGAAAGAAAAGCAAGGGTCATAGGCTTAAGAGGCTTGTCTAAGATCTAACAGCTGGTGTGCAGGGTAACTAGGACTGAACCCCGGGTACCCTAACTGCCCCCCAGTTGCCCTACTCCTCTGCTGCCTGGCCAGCACACTCACTCTTGAGCTCGTGGCCACAACCTGCTTTCCCTTCACCATATTCCCTAAGCTATGCCCGTACTTCTTGGCCAGGAAAGGTGCTTCCTTGGTAATCGTGCTAAGTAATAGCTTCCCTTGCCCCCTCTGGTCTTACTGATAGGCTGGTTGGCATCAAGAGTAATAAAACTGCCTCCAGCGAGGGATGTTTACAACTGGCGCCACAGCATCATGCCAGCCACTCCAGCGACTCCCAGAACCTACGCAGCGACCGAAGCCAAGCGTAAAGCTCAGCAAAGCTGACAAGCCCCAGGACGCCCTAGTGGATGTTTTGCCCCCTTAAGTGTTTGCTGCTTGGTGAAGAAAAGTCGAAGAGAGTTCCAGCTGGAACTCTGCAACAGGCAAAAGCTCTTTTTGTTAATTCAAAACAGTTTGGAATCCATTCCAGTTCTTCCTAAACTTCCAAGATACGGGGGAGGAAATTCACTGGCTTTACAATATATTTGTTGAGGCAAGTTGCCATTTCTGTCCTAAGGACAGAGAAGCTGCAGACAGCGCTGCGGCAGCCCCAGATGGCAAGTCACCCAGCCGCCTGCCTCGCCCTCGAGTCCGGCCCGGTGCTCCAGACCGCCTGGAGAACGCTCTTCTCCAGCAAGCCAGCTTTGTCCCTTCTGTGTGGGGCAGCTTTGGACAGCTTTCTTGGGTGACTGTGGATGTTTCTGCTGTTGAGTGGGAGGAAGAATAGAGTAGAAGGGGGACTTGTTCTCATAACTATATATTTCCATATCAAGGAAGAGTTGATATATTCTGTGTCAATTGGATAACACCGAGTTCTACGAGGTCAGTAACATGGGGCTCCTGGGGCTCACCCATGGTCATGGCCCGATAGATAGATTTTTTTTTTTTTTGAAACAGGGTCTTGCTCTGTTGCCCAGGCTAGAGCGCAGTGGCATCATCATAGCTCACAGCAACCTCAAACTCCTGGGCTCAAGCGATCCTCCTGCCCCAACCTCTCAAGTAGCTGAGACTACAGGTGTGCACCACTACACCTGGCTAATTTTTCTGCTTTTTTGTAGAGACAGGGTCTCCCTACTTGCTCAGGCTGATGTTGGACTCCTAACCTCA